CACACCCACACGCACACACCCACACACACACACGCCTCCACACGCACACCCACACACACACCCACACACACCCACACACACCCACACACACCCCCACACACCCCCACACACCCACACACACCCACACACACACACACCTACACACCCACGCACACCCACACACACCCACACACACCCACACACACACACCCACACACACCCACACACACCCACACACCCACACACACCTACACACACCCACACACACACACACACGCACGAACACACACACACACACCCACACACACACCCACACAACACACTCACAAGCACTAATTCACGCAAACGCGCAAACGCACACACACACAAACGCACACACACACACAAGTACAAACAAAAGCACCCACGCACACACACTGAAATTGCACACCAACACACGCACGCACCGCACCTCATGGCACTGCGCCGCGATTCGCCGCTCCGAGCCGGGTTTGGCAGGACTGTGAAAATTGGATTTGTTGCGGGTGCATCCTGGCAGGATTCAGTCATCGTTGACCGGAAGGTTATTGCGAAGAAGTATCTCAAAGGATGGTTCGTGCTGGATTTTGTCAGCACTGTTCCATGGAGCCGCATTGCGGCTTGAGTTGCAGGGAGGGGCAGGCAAAGAAGCCTAGCAAGCACATGGAACACCCGTGCCTGGATTTGGGACAATTAAAAACATGCCAACTGTCGATTGTTTTTGTTTGTTGCTCCACTCGATTTCCAGTCTATCATGTATGTGATGTGTTTTCTGATTGCTGTCCCTCTGTATCACACACACACATTCGCGGGCTTTTTGAACTGCCAAAGGTTCAGCTGCCTTGCCATCCCATTCAGGTTGATTCCTTGTCGGAGGGTGGCGGGCCCATGGTGACGGTGGCAAAGCTGGCAAAAGTGTAACTTGGATAGAATTTTGCCTCCGCCTTGATAAGAGCCGATTGCAAAGGGGGTTGTGTCCACAGCCATGGAGGCATGGAATGTGAGCACGGTTTGCCCGCTTCAGACTGCCGGTCATCGCTAAGGCTGAAGTTCATCCGCATTGTGAGGCTGATGAAGATGCTTCGTGCAAAGAAACTCAAGGATATCTGGGAACAAGTCGAAAGACGGATTGGATCCGTCGCCATTGTTCAGGGTATGATGCTTATCCGAGTGCTGCTTGTTGTCGTCGGCATTTGCCACTGGAACGCCTGCCTGTTCTGGATTATTGGATGTACCGAAAGCATCGTCACTGACTTTCTCCCTTCGCCAGGACCTCAGTACCCATCATACCCATCATATTCTGTGCATGGTATAGCCAAAGAGCCAGCATAGCCAGCCAAGAAGTCAGTCGGTTTCCAGCAACGGGTGAAGTTCTAGCTGCAGCTGTGCCCAGGCCACTGAAAGAGCAATTCGATGCGCTTCCACACTGGACCTCACTGTCAAGGACAAGTGTTGCCTGCCCAGAAAACAGAAGTAGGCAGCCTCAGTCTCCAGCACTGTTGGCTTGTCAAACTTGGAAAAACCTTGCGCCACACTTTGCCATGCGGTGGCTACCCTCCACTTGACGTCAGCGTTGTGCAGGAGTGGAGGGATTGATCTGGCGCCATGGTCATGGGAGAGCAGGCCCATGTGGAAAGCTCAGACTTCACTGTCTGAAAGCGGCAACCTTGTGTGACTTTTGCCTTGGTAGGCTGCATTTGACTCAGGTTTGAGCAGTACATATTCTGCTTTTACTGGACCCTCGGAGTCATGCGAACCATGCCAGCGGAAGTGACGCCGGTCAATGTGATTGAGCGTGCTTGGGCAGCAACATGTTTGGAGTTGCGCAACTCCATGGCGCACTTGATATGCAGCATTGATTGCTATGAACTTTGAACGATATGTGTGATATGTGATATGCGCGTTTGCGCGGCGTGGTTTGCATCGCGTTCTTGCTCGTTAGGCATGTTTGTGCTTTGCTTCATGTTCTTTGCGCTGTCTGCCTTTGCGGTTTCTGTGGCCTCCCTCACGCAAGCTTATTTCAAGATCAGCCCCTTGGACAAGATATGCGACTGCATCATTGCATCATTGGCCGTTTGACTTTTCAGCATTCAGACAGCACTGCGAGCTTGTGAACCGGCTGTGTAGCAGCCTTAGCGTTGCCGAGGCGAGCGTGGCAGAAGCTTCAACGATGAAATGTTCGCTATGAGGATGCATCTCCACAAGCTCAGGGTCGAAGAAGCATCACAGCGAAAGATCAAGGCATCTTGTCAGCAACTTGCTGTTGAGAGGTGAGACCCAGGCAGTAGCCCTTTCGTCGGCATGATGCACGTGACTTGTTCCTTTGATTTGTGTTGCTTTCCTTTCCCAGTTACTTCTTTTCCGCCCCGGTATCTACCAAGGAATACCTGCATCACAAGTTCACACGCAGAAGGATCATGGCAAAGGAGGTGCCCAGACTGATGCATTGACGGGCGTTCATAGGCAGCCTACACCCACAACATTGGCAACATTGTTCCTCTTAGCCGAGCCGAAGTTGGATGACACGGGCAAATTGTGGTAATTTTAGTCCATTGGTTCAGTGGTCTGCTTCGTGACACTCATCAGCAGTGACATCGATGAAGGGCCAGGCAACAACTCAGATTAGGTTGCAGATTACTCGATTGGGTCAGGCAAACTTGCTCAAAGAGCTTCCGGAAGTGCTGAAGAATGAAGTCGAGTATGCGAAGAACCTTCAACATGTACATCGCTTGTCCTGCGACTTGGCTCACGGATGTCGCGTTTCCATCCGTGGCGGCTTTCAAATGCCAAACCCAAGGTGTGCAGCACCTGTCCAAGGAGACGGTGCGGCAAATCTGCTTAGGCGCGGCACAGACCGGTGCAATGACGGTTGAGCTGTGGGCATTAAGGGTTGGACTTGCAGGTGCCAAGTCCCTCGAGATTCTGGCAGGTCAGCTCATCACAGTGGCAGGGGAGGAGCTCGAGAAACATGAAAATATACGAAAATGCAGTAAAACATGCAACTGCCCTCTGAATTTGCTTGAGAATTCTTTCATTCAGGATTCTACATGCGCATGGATCGTTTGCTCTGGGTGCCTTGGCAAATGTGTACACGCTGAATGACGGACAAATGCAAATGGGCTGCCTGCCTTGAGGTCTGTTCAAATCAAGGATGAAGTGGGTGCGGGCCTCAACACTCCGGGTGGCTGCAATGGCATGATGAATGCAGCATGGGCTGTTTTGTCTCTTTGAGGCAACAAGTGTCTTTTGGCTGAAGAAGGAGAGCCAATGGTCATCAACGAGGATTGTTTAACCAACCAGGCTCACCTGTCTGCCAACCACATGATACACAACGTGCGACACAACTCACTGTATAGTGGAACAAGCGTGGCCTTGCGCAGGCATCAGTGCGCTCATCTCTCACGGTCACAACGTCGAGCACATGTGTCTTGTACAGAACAGACGCACATAGCTGGGTGATTTTGTTGTGCCTCCTTCAATCGTTTCCCATGAGCGTCTCGCTGCCAATGTGAACGATGGGCAATCTGGCACAATGGGTTCTGTTGTCCTGGACCTGGATGCCTGAGGTGAAGTTCTCAAAATTGAGCAGGCAATGTTCTTTGAGGCTGCCGCTCGCGATTTGCAACTTGGCTAAATAAACACATTTTAGAACACTCAGGATATTTTTTTAGAATTGCAATTGGACGGGGGGGGCAGGGCGGACAAAAAAACACCACACATCCGCACTCAGGAAGCCACAGAGTGATCTTCTTCGTCGTCAGCATTCAGGCCCTCAAGCACTCGAGGCACGTCCAGCTGAACTTGCACTGCTGGCGCTGTTTTCGTGGGTTATTGACGAAACTTGAATGAATTGTGCGTCTTTCGCAGGTCGAGGAAGCCACCGACCGGGAGCACACACCCCATGCGTCTGCGGGAGCAACAGCTGCCATCTCCGCGGGCTGAGAAGCTTGAGGTTTCACAGTTTTTCCAGCAGAAATACCATTTCCGGAGCTGTTTCGACGGGATGGGCGCCCTGGACGACCGAGGCTCACAAACAACATTGCACAACATTGCACAATATGGCACATTTTGTTCCAACAAAAATGGTGAACTGGATGGTTTGTACGTGGGTTTGGTTCGGTCCGCCCGGGGGTATGCATTCTGCACTTGCGTGAGCTGATTGCCTGAAAGTGCCAGCTCCAACACGAAATTGATTGCATTCGGGAGAAATGCTTATTTGCTCGTGATCAAGCAAATGTTTACACTGTTTACAGTGTGTCTGTCTTCTGAGGTTGCTACTTTTCAAAATTGTGCCAGTACGCGACACTACCCCGGACAAACTTCGAATCATAGTAGCCGACTGCATGCGAGCGGCTGTCTCCATTGATTGATGCAAAGTTGCCAATGGAGGCAGGCTTCGCAACATTGCTTTTTGGCATTTATTGACTGCTACAAGGCCCAGTGCTGTTTGGCGGAAATCGTTCGTTTGTTGTTCCACACTCCTGAAACACACCGGGCCACGAGCTGACATAGATGTGCTCGAATTGTCTTGGACAAGCCTCACGATATGCCACATAAGTGGCTTCTATTCGAGGGCGGCAACAACAATTTTGCCCCGTCCGGTAGAGCAACAGCTGAAGAAGTGGACATAGGGTTATGTTTGAGACATTAAGCAGTCAGCTGTTGCAATGCGTTTCACTTCAGGAACTTGACGTCCATCATCCAGCCTCACCAACAAAATTGTTTAGGCACTGTGTTCAGGATCCGCTATTGCATTGTGTAGCGGACAATTTGTGTTTCAGTATGGTAAACAAAACTTTGAGACACTGGATAGCAGGTGCTTACTTACCTTCGCCAATGAGGCTGCTAGCACGAAAACCGGGTGCCACAGATTGAGCTGCTCAATCAGATTCTCAGCGTGTTTGCATTTCAGGTGTGCACCACCTCATTGTTGCATGCATCAAATGCATTTGTTTGGCGCAGCGTTGATCAGCACTTGGGTACATGAGCATTTGGCACGTGAGGCGTTGTTCGACTTCCTGCCAGTGAGGGCTGCAGATGGCAAACAGGCTGGGCAAGCGGTGGTCAGATGGTGCTTCATGGTGCCTTACTGATGAGGTTTTAGCACATCAAGAATGACAAATATTCGATTGGACAAATATCGCAATTTCATTTTGTTGCGCCTCCAGCTGGCAATCATTCACACGAAGACGGTCGTCAGATCATGACCCATAAAACAATTGTCCGCATCCAGAACCTCGCCAACTCTTATTTGCGTTTGAGTTTGAAGCTTTACAAGTTTTATCCCGTGATCACACATCGCAGAGGGTCCTTGAAATGCAATATTCGATCCTGGTTGGGTTGTTTCCTCCAGATGCTTGCATTTTGTTTGTTCAGTGTGATGGCCCCAGTCTACCGCACATCATTTGGCTGAGGGTTTTGCAATGTTGAGGGACTTACAACAAATATTCTGGAAAAGGGCATTGACCATTTCCAGTGAATTGGCAATGGCAGGCGTTTCTACCACGTCCAGGAGGTGCACGCCCCAGAATGGCCGGCTACGGCGAATTTGATCAATGATCAAATGCAATAATTTAATCGATTATTCCATGGGGCACGTTATGTGTTCCAGCGTGCCAAATTCATGTTTGATGCTGCATTGCACAGTCATTACTTTCGTCACAGATAAAACGTGCAGCCACACAGATGATGTGGCCTGATCTCTGCATTTGACTGGCTCCAGCGGTTCTATCTCAGAGTTTTTTTGCGACCTGGACCAACAGAGTCCCAGCCATGAAGCTGCTCCTTGCCTTCGCCGGCTTGGCTCAGGTTGTCGCTCAATCCCTCACGCAACCTTCGGCAGCGTCCTCCCCGACATACTCGCCCACACCCGCCCCAAAGCCTGCCTATCGCCGGCTGCAAGAGGAGGTGAACAAAGACGAGCTGAACAGGGACCTTCACAGTGCCATTCTTCATGGAGACACGGCGACTGCGGAGTCTTTGTTGTCGCAAGGCCCGATCATTTACATTCGATATGCGATTGTTGGTTATGGTATGGTGAGGTTCTAATTTCGGTCGTCCGACGGACGAGCAGATGTGCGCCAGCTGTTCTCATGCCGCGATGCCCTAACCTTGTCGGATAGCGCCTTGCTTCGCTGCGAGGCGCCAACATCGATGATGTTTCTTGCCGCGCATTAGCCCTGTCATAGTTCAGACCGTGATGTCAAGGTTTGCGAGGTCCCATTGGGAATCGAAATTGGAAAAACATGTTTATAAGTTTTGTTTTGCCAACTTGTCCATGTTTTTTGGCCTTAGCAGTGACAGCGCATCTACTGGAATTTCAATGTGACGTTTTCCATGGTGCCACACAGCCAACTAAAGGTGACGCAATCGGGACCCCGCTGGAGCCCCCTAGCCGAGGCTGTCCATGCCTCAGCGAGCGAAGTGTGCATGCAGAGACAATCTCCCCCGTCATGAAAAGCAAAACCTGCAACAGTTGACTTGGCTGCTCGCTGTGCACTTTGATGCGCCAATGGGTGCAACCTTAGTTTCACCTCAATAATACAAATGGACGCAGTCTGGGCCCTGGGCACAGCACGACTAGAGTTTGTCAGCATGCGGCCGAGGCTGTTCATAGGATGTCCTCAGTGTGCCTTTGGTTGTTGACGAAGAAGGCCAGCCCAGATATCATTGACAATCGCGGACGCACGCCTCTCTACCATGCTGTCCCTTGATGGCAGCTGGTGAGTCTTTGATTGGTTCAATCTTGATTGCGGCAAGCTTCCAGCTGTACTCAAGGTACATTATAGCATGAAGGACGTCGTCACAGAGATGGTGAAAACTGCCAAGCACTTCAGGCCTTCATGCAGTGCAGTCGCATGCGAACCAAGCTCAAGTCATGCACATCAATGTGGGATTTGGGCTAAAGTGCAAACCCCCAAGCCCTAGCCAAGCTGCATTACATGTGTGTAATTTAGATTGGCTGCGGCAACGTGGAAATGTTCAGGGTGTCCAGGGTAACATTCAATGTACGAGTCGCCAGCGTTGCCTGCTTGACCAGTGCTCACGATGGCGACAACGTTGACATGCTGACTCGCGCAGCTACTTGCTCAAATTAATGTTTCAAAGTGAAACCCATTGAATGCTTGTTTGCCCAAAACAAAAGGAGTTGATTGAGTGTTGTGCGCCCGTTGCTCTTCGGATTGCCAAGCCCCGGACAATATGCGCGAGTTTATCACAACTTCTCCTTTTATCCAGTAAACTGAGGTTTGGCAGGAGGACTCTGACATTGTGCAAATTCTTTTGACAGCTGGTGCAACGTCCACCGCTGCAGAAGTTGCTGTGGCCCGGCGAGAGAAACGAGGTTGAATGTAGTTGTGACAAGCGGAAGTACCGGACAGCATTGCTGCTACGGTAAATCAAGGCAGGACACCCTTCTGTCCATTCTGTTGCTTCGGATGGGCATGCTGATGAGGCAAAGACTCGCAATGATTAGTTTGGTACATGCATTGTATGACGGAGGAGGTACTCGCTGAGTCGAAACCTATCGATGCACGGATAAGCTCACACTCGAGGCAGCCCATGCTCCTTGGAGCATCCAGAAACTGTTCGGCATCACCACCGTGACGACGACCGCCGCTCCGGTCACGACATCGACTCCCGCCCCGGCGACGACTGCCGCTCCCACCCCGGCGACCACTGCAGCCCCAGCAACGAGCCTTGGACCAGAGCAGCCCCACCAGACTCGACCTCCACATTTTGTTTGTGCGAAGAAGAACACGTGAAGACCACGAAAATGGATGCCAGGAACGTTGCCTGTCAAACAAAATAAATATAATTTGTATACAATAACATTTCATGCTGCAATTCTTATGGTTTCATTGGCTTTTTGAACCTGACAGGCGCCCAGGGCAAACAATTGGCGCACACGTTAGCACTTCTTGAGAAAAGGGAACATGTTGATGGTTTTGGAGTCAAAAGAGAGGATCTCGTGAACCACTTTCAGCAAAAGCCTCAGGGATTTGCCACAGCGCTCTTCCGGTGGGAACCAAGAGCCTCGTGGGCAAAACATGCACTTGCCATTTGATCGTCGTCACAATAATTATCTTGTCTGGCCCATGGATTCAACTTTGTGTCCTGAATGCTGCTGGTATGGACCAAGGACAGCGCCTTGAGCTCGGAAATCACCGCTGTAAGGCTGCCGCGCCAGGCGCAGGTTTGACATGTAGTATGCACAACAAACATCCACAAACATCCACACGTCAGAGTGAGTTGAAAGACCAGAGTATTCAGATGTCGCGCTGAAACATGGCCGATACGTGCTAAGACAACGCAGACATGTGCATGACATTTACAGGGATTCCATTGACACGCTTGCCCTGCAGTGAGAATCGACTCTCGCAAATGGTCTTGAGCTCCTGAGCTGCGGCATCCTGAGCGAGTTTCATATCAAGGACCTAATCACAAAAAACCGTGGACTCCGAGACTTTGGCAAGATGTGATTAGGTCACACATCGAATTCGCTTGAGCCACTTGCCTTTTGACATACGTTTTCTGCAAGCGAAGGCAAAAGTGTCGCTGTGCCCGGTCGACATGTGATACTTGCCAGACCATTTAAGTATGATTGTTTGCCTCCATGTGAGAATGAAAGTCAGAGGAGCTACTGCATCGCAACATTCCAAGTGTTGCTGATCATGACGCAGGTGCACCGCTGAATGTGTGCATAGCAGCCCAAAGGCCGATGGGGCAGCTGTTCGGCGGATGTCATTTGCATGTTGGATGCTACATGAACCATGTCACTTGCATGAAGGCTCGGTGCCAAAGTCAGCTTTCTGGGAGCGCTCTCCTCCGACCTGTTTGGTGAGGTTCCTGCACTGTTTTCCTTGTGTCACCCGTGTATTTGCAGCGATGCCTATGTGCAAGTCTTTCAGCGTCTGCCAGCAGGAGCTATACAAGACTTTAGATGCTGACGATGTCGATTTGAGCATGGTTGTGAGCTCAGTTTGTTCTTGGCTGTTCAGCTGCTATTGAAGGGAGGTGTTACGGGTTGTGTGTGTGTGTGTGTGTTTGTGTATGTGCGTGTATCTCCAGACCTGTTGCGTCAGATGCAGTTTGGCTTGGACTTGGCACGATTTGTTTGCATCATTGCAGGCTTTGCCAAACTGTGTTTGTATCTTTGTGCATGTCGGTTTGTGCGGCATTCACGCATGCAGATGAGTCAACACATTTGGTTCTGAGAATACGGCATCCAGAAACTCCAATACGTATTGTGAACGTAAGAGCTGTTTTGCAGGTGCAGCGTCTTCCGAATCCATCAACCCTGGCATTTGTAAGCCCAGCACGCTTAGTCATCGCTTGCCATGAACGCATTATAGTATAAGGCGGCAGGTTGTTGTGGTGTCAGGTCAGCAAACCACCTGGCTCTGATGTCCGCTATGCGTGGGCAGCTGAGCATAGCACGTCAGACAGGCTTACCAACAAGTGCAATAAGGCAATACAGCGACACGTGCCATAATGCACCCGCCAGGTTTTTCAAAGAGAACGCGGCAGACCGCACATTGACTGCGAGGACACTGCAAGTGACAGGGGAGGATTTTTTCGGCATTGAGGCTTCTTAAGTTGTTTGAGTTGGCAAGAATCCGGGTGACACCACGCAAGTAGCAGACCACGTTGACTGAATTGCGGTTTGCAGATCTTGAGTGAGTTGAGCAACACAACAAGTGGATCTGAATCCACGGTAGGACTGTGGCCGAGCTTATGGGCAAGAAGACCTTTGGAGCTGTCCATGTCAGCATGGGCGCGCGGAACTCACAAGCTTGCTTGTGGCATGCTGCACTGAGAGGAAAGATGGAAGCGGCCTTGAACAAAAAGCAGGGTGTTGCGGAAGAATCGTGACGTGCACATACTCCCATGTCATATATGATATGTTGTTCACGCCAACAAAGCTGACACACCCTTGGGTGCGTGACGTCACCTGCGGATGATCCAACTGAGTGTGTCATGGGCAAACTGACATGACACAAGGGCGTAGAGGTGCTGTGCGTGAGAAAAAAGAAAAAAGAAAAGAAAAAAGAAAACATCTGCGACGGGACGATTGATTGGTTGATTGAGTGTTTGGATTGGACTGGCTTGGTTTGGTTCGCACTGGTTGGTTGGTTGGTCGGTCGGTTGGTTGATTTATGGATTGATTGATTGATTGATTGATTGATTGATTGATTGATTGATTGATTGATTGATTGATTGATTGATTGATTGATTGATGGATTGGTTGGTTGATTGATTGATTGCTTCACACGTTTGGGCTCTCGATTGCTACGTCAACATGTGCTTGCGTGCTCGCGTGCATTGGTCGATACGGACAGGCGGCTCGCTTCGGTGCCGGTTGCATGCTCTTGATTTGCTCCCTGGCACGGCATGCCCTGGCCAAAAGGGTTGCAGTGCAAATTGGTCGAGCGTCCAAGCGTGTTGCTACTGCGACGTCGCCTCAGCGAGGCTGGCGTTTGTTCGTGATTTTCTGGCACTTACTCTCAATGGCATCCGAGTCATCGCTGCTTGCATTTGCTCGGCTTCAACACGTCACAGTTGCGGCGCCATGTGACCAGATTGATGGGAGAATAACGGCCAATGTCCGACCCCGTTGGGAACAATCAGCATGCGTCGCTATTTGCCAAGCCCAAGGTTGTTCGCACGGATTCCAGCCACCAACTAGATTGGCTTAGCGACTTTTTGGGGCTCTGGTTTGAACCTGCCCAGAGTAACTGGATTTGTTTCCGCTGTGTTTTTGCTGCGATTTTGTGGGCAGTTGGCTGCAATGCCCGTCCAGAAACGTCCAGAAACGTCCGTCGCCGAGCGGCCCAGCGAGCAAGGGTGACTTGGCGGTTTGCAAACAAACCCGGACCAGAAAGTATGCTATCCTTGCCACGTTGCCCCAACATGATTGTTGCATGAATGTTTGCTCACTGCAGTGGAGTCGCTTACATGTTTGAGTTGCCCCAACTTGCTGACTTGCTTCGTTCCTGTGCTGTTTCTATTTACTCCCTGTAGGTGTTGGCATTGGGTTCCACACTGTTGTTTGAATATCAGGCTTTGGAAGTCCAAAGAAAGATGTGCTGCTTTATCACATGTCGATGCAGCCTGCGGGAAACTCCCCTTTGCTGCCCCAATGCCACACGTCTCATGCCCGCGCATTGGTATGTTCAAACGTGTAATTGCGCAACGCAAGCAAATTACAGAGCCATCGCACTCCAAGAACCTCACCTTAAGGCATGGCGCACTGAAAGGCAAAATCCTTTGTGCCGGCATTCACCGTTGGCTGGGCACCTAGAATTGATTCGCCATTTTCTTTGCCAGCATGGTTCACCTTTGCTAGTGTCGTCGGGCTGGGCCCAAATGATTGGATGTCAACGAATGAATGCCTTGGATGAACAGACTCGTGCCTTGACCGCCGAAGCTTCTTGCTTAAAAGTGTCAGAGACTCCATCAAAGGCGTCAATGTTTGAACAGAAGTCCGCAAATTGCGCGTTGTCGCTTGCTCGGCATCCCGTTATGTTTTTTTCTCCCCGCTGACGGCATTTCCGTTGTGAACGCGCTTCACATTTTGTCTGCGTCAGATTGGCACACGCACACACACACACACAAAAACAGACACGCACAATGCTGTCGGAACCTCCATAGTGTTTCCCAACAGCTTGTGACGTTTGCCTTTATTTAAACAGGCTTCCTAGATGATCTTGTGCCTGGTTGACGATGTTTTTCCCCCCCCCAGCTCGGCCAGCGGCCTGCACCATTGCTGGCCAGTTCCGTCAAGCTTCTCGCCACTCAATGCTCCTTTCACGCGTCCCTGAGCTGGCCACTTCTATCAGCTGCCAAATGCTTGCGCTCCTCTTTGCGTTGCCTCTGCCCTCCATCAGCATTGTATCGAGCTCGAACACCTTTGAGCGGCGATTGCGGTTTGGGTAGTCCACTCGAGCCTTTGCAAGGCAACTTTGGAATACGGCGCGACGTGGCGTGGGCTACTTGCATAAAAGGTGTAGGACGGTGATATAATTAAGGTGGTCTTGTCAGGAGCGGCCGCTAGTCTTGAAACCAAGGATGAGCAGATGTCAGCTCCGCCTCCGGAGCAATGTAGGCGTTGTGGCGCATCAGCTGCAAGCGAGGTCCGTCTCGCGGTCAGAGCCTGGCCGTCGTGCAGCAACTTTGTCACACGCTGGCGCGTCGACGTCAAGGTCCAACCGGGTGGGTTCTTGCACTGGCGTGCTCAAGCGGCACGCTCCCCAACACGCTGCTTCGCGCTTATTTCGCGGTTTGCCGCTCAGCTGGAGCTTCGCGGTGTGGGCGCACCGCAAGCGGCGCGATAAATTAGAGCTGCTTCGCACTGTTGGATGGGCCAGCCCGCATGCCAAGCCGACCCGACAAGTGAGATGACGTTGTTGGTTACTTTAGAGCCTCCGGCTCAGTCCGCCGACCGTTCCCTCGTCCTCTCTCCCTCTCTGCCTCTCTCCTCCCCATCCTCTCCATCCTCCCCATCCTCCCAATCCTCTCTCTCTCTCTCTCTCTCTCTCTCTCTCTCGTTCTCTCTATTTTTTCTCTCTCTCTCTCTCTCTCTCTCTCTCTTTTTCTCTCTTTCTTTCTGTGCTTGTTTGTCTTTTTCCGTCTCACTTTCTCCTTCCTGCTGTCTATGCATTTTTTCTTTGTTCCTCTCTCTCTCTCTTTCTCTTTTTCTCTTTTTCTCTTTTTCTCTTTCTCTTTCTCTCTCTCTCTCTCTCTCTCTCTCTCGCTCTCTTTCTCCCTCCTTTCTATGTCTCTATCTTTCTCAACCTCCCCGCTATGCCTCGTTCTCCCCACCTCATGTCTTTGCCCCGCTCTCTTTTTTTTTTTTATCTCTCTATCTCTCTCTCTTTTTCTCATTCTCTTTTTCTCTCTTTTTCTCTCTCTCTCTCTCTCTCTCTCTTTTATCTCTCTCTCTCTCTCTCTATCTTTCTCTCTCGCTCTCGCTCTCTCTCTCTCTCTCTCTCTTCTCTCTCTCTCTCTCTCTCTCTCTCTCTCTCTCTCTCTCTCGCTCTCGCTCTCGCTCTCGCTCTCGCTCTCGCTCTCGCTCTCGCTCTCGCTCTCGCTCTCGCTCTCGCTCTCGCTCTCGCTCTCGCTCTCGCTCTCGCCCTCGCCCTCGCCCTCGCCCTCGCCCTCGCCCTCGCTCTCGCCCTCCCTCTTCTCTATGTCTCTATCTTACCTCCTCGCTATGCCCTATTGTCCGCACCTCATGTCTTTCCCCTCCCCCCCCCCCGTCTCGGTCCGCTGCTTCTCTCTCTTTTTTTCTTTCTGCTGTCCGGATCAGCCGAAAGCCGGTGTGCAACGCCAAAGCAAGGAAATCGCGCAGCTGACCCGGGACTTCCTGCAGCGTCAACGCGCGCACGAAAAAGTCCACCAGCCCCAACACACCCAAGCCCGTCGCAGCCACCAAAGGCAGCCGTGTGGCCGCTCGCGGCAGCCAACTGCACGAAAAGTCTCTCTAATTGGGCCCGCCTTTGCGCGCAGGCCGCTGTAAAGACCGGACGTGGCGGAACTTGTGTCTTGCTCCGACCCACAAGGCTACGTCGGCCATGGGAGATCCGCAGCAGGGACGGCGAAACTTTGGCCACTTGAACCACTTGGATTGCTTGGATTAATATGACAAATGTAAGATGGCGTTCATTTGGTCATGAAATAGGGGTCATCACAAAAGCGTATAGCAGGATCAGGCGCAGCAGTGAACATGGCTTGGGCCAGTTCGGCGCGGTGTTTGTGGTCTTGTTAGCGGTGCTTGTTTTTTCCCAGATAGCTGAAAGCTATAGGGGTTCTAACTTCTAATAAAGAAGGGAAAATGATTTGCGAGATTGAGGGCCGGGTGCTGGGGGGCATGCAGTTTGGGGTGCTGTTGGAGGTGCTGCTTTGCGAGCTTGACGGCCGGGTGCTGGGGGGCATGCAGTTTGCAGTGCTGGTGGAGGTGCTGTTTTGCGAGATTGACGGACGGGTGCTAGGGGGCATGCAGTTTCGGGTATTGGTGGAGTTGCTGTGTTGCAAGATTGACGGCCAAGTGCTAGGGGTCATGTAGTTTAGGGTGCTGGTGGAGGTGCTGTTTTGCGAGATTGACGGCCTGGTGCTAGAGGGCATGCAGTTTCGGGTGCTGGTGGAGGTGCCGCTTTGCGAGATTGACGGCCGGGTGCTAGGGGGCACGCAGTTTGGAGTGCTGGTGGAGGTGCTGTTTTGCGAGATTGACGGCGGGTTGCTAGGGGGCATGCAGTTTCAGGCGCTAGTGGGGGCATGTAGTTTGGAGTGTTGGTGAGGTCCTGTTTTGCGAGATTGATGGCCAGGCGCTAGAAGTCATGCAGTTTCGGGTGCTGGTGGAGGTGCCGCTTGGCGAGATAGGGGGCCATGTAGTTTGGAGTGCTGGTGGAGGTGCAGTTCTGCGAAATTGACGGCCCCGTGCGAGGGGGCATGCAGTTTCGGGCGCTGGTGGAGGTGCCGCTTTGCGAGATAGGGGGCATGGAGTTTGGAGTGTTGGTGGAGGCCCTGTTTTGCAAGATTGACGGCCGTGTGCTAGGGGGCATGCAGTTTCGGGCGCTGGTGGCGGTGCCGCTTTGCGAAACTGACGGCCGGGTGCTAGGGGCATGCAGTTTAAGGCGCTGATGGGCACGCAGTTTGGGGTGCTGTTTTAGGTGCTGGTGATGGTGCAGGCGCATTCTTGCAAGATTGATGGCCGCATGCAGTTTGGGGAGCTGATGCAGCTGTTTTGGGGCACTGTTTGGGGTGCTGCTTGGGGTGCTGCTGACGTTGGGCGCAATTTTCGGAGATTGCCGGCGGGTGCTAGGGGGCACGCAGGTGCTGTTTTGTGTTGCTGTTGGAGGTGCAGCTGACCGCGT